AGTATATAATAGTATTTAAAAAAGGGCGCTCTAACTATATACCTAACTATATATATATCTTTATTTATCTTAGCTTAAATTAAGAGTTATTCTACTCCTTAATAATACTAAATCCTCTCCTTTTAAATATATTATCCCCCTTACTATTATTATATTAGTATTACTAGTATAGTACTTTATATATATAAAATATAATATCTAAAACACCCTAAATATCACCTTCACTATAATATTAAGGATAAGCTTATTACTTATAGTTTTAATAACTACCTATAGTATAGTTAAGTATTATTACTAACTCCTATTAAAATTATTAACCTAGTTATTAATAATAAGAGACTACCTAAGCCTTATATCTAGTAGCTCTCTAAGGCTTATATTTAGTAGTCCTCTAAAGCTTAAGATAAGCCTTCTACTCTATATAATACACTAGCGTAATCTATTAATATTCTAAATAAGTCTACTTAGCTAGGTTTTAGATATAATAGCTCTTTTCAGTATAGCTAATCTATACTAGCTACTACCTTAGCTTAGACTATTATATAACCTATTCACTATAATTAAATATTAAACCTTAAGAACTATTACTAAAAGTAATAGATCAGTAAATCTATAAAAAGGTCCTTATAAATCCTTACTTAGAAGAAAAGAGAGGCTATAGTAACTAGGGAGGATCTTAGCCTTATATATACTATTCTTAATATCTAAGTTAAACTTAAGGAATTATTACCTAATATATAAGTATTTATCTTTTTAAACTACTATTTAATTTATAAGTCTTCTTCTTACTTATAATACTATAAGCTAAGCTAAAAGATAAATAAATAGTATAATAATACCTCTATTTAACTATATTACTTAAGTACCTCTAACTCTATAAGATTAGGTTTTCTAGTTTATTAAGTTATCTATTAAAAGGCCTACTACTTAGCTATTTAATAAATAATAGGAATTTTAGTTTACTACTAATATTTATATAAGGAAAGGACTATCTATTATCAGTATATCTAAAGATTATAATATCTTTTTAAAGGTATTTAAGGACTATTAGTTAATATTAAAAAAAGAGGAAAAGAATAGTAAGCTTCTTTAGCTTTACTTTTATTTCTATTACTTAGATATTAAAGAAGTAGAGGATAATTATATAGCCTCTATTATACCTTTATTTAAGTATATAGCCTTTATAATACCTTTATTTAGGTATATAACTTCTACCCCCTATTAAGGGAAGTAGGAGTTAATTAAGCTACTAATTAAGTAAGAAAAGGAATCTATATTTAATATTAAAAACTTTAATTCTTCTAATACTAAATACTAAAGCTCTAAATAGCTTAAGAAGTAATAATACTATAATTTATAATTAATCCCTAAAGTAAGCCTAAACGCTTAATAAATAGGATCTCCCTATAGTATCTAAGAAGTTATATCTCTATTATCTCTTCCTAATCTTCTTAAGATTATTACTAATCCCTTAAGTAATAATAATCTCTTAAGTATTTTAAACTTTTTAACTATTTTAAATTACTCTACTACTTTAAATAACTCTATAACTTTAAATAACTCTATTACTTTAAATAACTCTACTATTTTAAATAACTCTACTACTTTAAATAACTTTATTACTTTAAGTAGCCCCCTCTCTTATTCTAATAATTAGAATAAAAAGTACCTTAATAAGTACCCTTACCTACTTAAGTCTAAGCTTTATAGTCTCTATATAAACCTAAAGTAGAAATAAGGTATTAATTAATTATCTATCTATAGTAGTATATTTTCTACTATATTTATAGTATCTATTTTATCTAATTTTAGCTTATTACTATAAAGGTTCTTTAATAATATAAGGTTAGAATAGTTTTAATATAATATATTAAGAGGGTTTTAATTTAAGAGTTTAAGCTATTTATATCTATTAGAATATCTCTTACTAAGTAGCTTATTATAGTAATAACTTATATATCTTCTTATCCTACCTATTAGCTTCTCTATAAAGCTAAGTTCTAGTTATAATCCTACTACTATATACGCTTTAATTTAATCCTAAAGCTTTAGATATATCTCTATATAAAGCTATTCCTAATTATTTATATCCTTAAGTAAATTTAGGTTAAAACCTATCTTATCTAATTACTACTAATACTAATCCTTAGTATTATCTAGAAGGAAAGAATTAATATTAATATCCTCTAGTAGTCTACTTATTTTAGTAAGTAGTTTATTAGCTTTAGAATCTACTTCTATTTTAACCCCCTATTTATTATTTTCCTAAGTTAAATTATATAAATCTACTAATTAACCTAACTTAATATAGTCCTAATTTCCTTAATTATATATATATTTAGTGTTCTAAAGGTTTATAAAGTTAGTAACTTCCTCTTATATTATATTACTATAAATAGTATATATAGTAATTAAATAGATAATATTATCTAGAATAAAATCTCTAGTATTAATTATCTTTAATAAAAAACACTAATTTAATATAAGATAATAATACTTTATAAGAAGGTTAAAATACTTATAATCTATTAGTTATTAAAGCCTATATATAAAAACTTCTACTATAACTTAATCCTAATATTACTTATACTTAGTACCTAAATATAATAAGATAATATTTAATTACCCTATTAGTAGACCTAAACTTTACCCTCTCTATTAGTATATTTAATTCTTATCTAATTAACCTCTATAAGGAGTATTTAGATACTTATAAAGAGAGGAGTTTTACTCTTATAGTCTACTTTAGTAAGAAAAGGCTAAATCCTAGAAACTTAAACTATATATAAATATTATTTTATAATACTTAATATTATTATTATAGAACGTCTAATATAGATCTATATAATATATCTTAAATATATATTAATATAGGTATAAATCTAAAAGCTAAATCTCTTTAGCTTTTTATATCTATTTATAAACTATAGGAAGTTAAATTTAAAGACTTTAAAGTTAGTATAATATTACTAATTACCCCTTTATTATTAAGCTACTTTATTTAGGAATATCTATATATAATAGTTATAAATCTAGTTCTTTTTAATAATAATACTAACTATAAAATAGATATACTAATAGAGGTAGCTCTACTTAAAGTTTAAGATAGCTAATATTCTCTATAGATCCTTCTCTATAAACTTAATTACTACTACTTTAACTTTAGCTCTCTTTTCCTTATTAAAGTATTATTACTTTATATTATATTTTTACTATATTTTCTTTAACTATTCCTATAATAGAGTACTATATCCTTAGTAAGTAAGCTCTTATAGGATCTAATTATCCTTTATATTCTACTAGTAGAAGAGATACTTAATTATAAGAAGTATATTCTCTTTCTATTCTAGATTATATTAATTATAATACTATAATCCTTAATTAGTAAGCTAATACTTAAGTATCCTTTTACCTATATTTATACCCTCCTCTAAGAATATAATTACTATATTATCTATAAAGATACTATTAAAGAAGAGGCTTTTAATAAATAGATAATAAAGCTCTAAGTTAATAAATATACTCTAATCTATAATAAACTTAGTGAAAATAATATAGAGAGGGCGAAAAAATATTAAGCCTAACCCTATAATTACTTATAATTATAAGGGGATTCTAAGTAGGTAGAGGGAAAAAATTAACGTAGTTATTAACGTAGTAGTAAGGGTATAAGGTTAAATTAGCCTAACTTTCATCTATAAAAACCCTAAAATCTGAGGTTAGCGGATTTACCTTAGTAGTGCACCGTAGCATTATGTCCGGACATGATGCATCATCAAAACACCACAACAGCATCGTGATATCAACAGATACGACAAAAATAAGGACGTAGGGTATTGAACCCAACCCGATTTGAACGGATAACCTTTCGATTGCATTTAACTGGAGTCGAACGCGCTACCGTTGCGCCATGGGTCCTTGTTGAAGGGTGCGGACAACATTTCAACTCAAGAAGCATTCGTGCGGGGTTTGCGGGGCCACAACAACTGCAGTGGGTCGCCTACGGTAAATTTGGACCCCTCTGCCGCTGACGGGCTCGAAAAACCCAGAAAGAATTGAGTCTTCGTTGTGCGCGTGGTCATTTTGGGCCGAGCTGGCTTGATGTCGCTTTCAATGTTCGGTACACCTTTTCTCAACCGTTTTCAGTGCTTAGAACGCGTGACTTCTTCAGCGGCCTGATAAAAGCCCCAAATTTCACTGACATGAATGCCTAGTTGTGTGCTGCGCATCTTGCTTTACCAATACACTCGGAATGAGCCCGATTTGGACCGAGATTCAAGTTAAGGAGAGAACGTAGCTTATACATTCTCTAGTATATTCATCGGTTTCTGACTTCGAAAAAGAACCCTTAAGCCTGTAATGCCTTCTCGAGAATGTCCCGAATGTCATAATACTGCCGGCGTCCTCTTCGGAGAACACGAGAAAAATGTGAATCGTGGAGTGCGGGTGCGGGGACCGCGGCGTAGGTACCACCACTTACACAGCTCCAGTGGGCCTAACAGCTGTCAGAATCGTGCCTGCTGCAACTTCTTCGGTCGGAGCTTCAGTTTTGGCGCGGAAATTTGATCAAAGGTAGATTGCCGGGACGTGAACACCGCGCCTGCGTCCTCAAGTACGAAATCCGTAGGAAACTGGAACATGAATATTTAGCTTTGTTATTCCTGGTAGCTAACGTAGCATTGAATCACTGTTGATCCAAAAGTCTGGTTCCACGACGAAGGTACACACCTATCTCAAAGTGGAATGCCGAACCATCTTCAGAATACAAGCACCGAGGCGCCTTCCAAATTGAAGCCACAGATATCACTCTTGAATGCTGATGAGTCATGTTAAAGGTGCATTGTCTTTTCAAGTCTATTCCTATCATCTGCCTGCAATAAAACAACAGGAAGACACTCGTGTCGAGCCTCTTTCAAAATTCGTTCCAGACAAAGCCCATCGCATCCATGATTCCCTGACATCCTTCCCAGCACAGTCGAACCCCTTGCAGATTTTTCTGCTCACTTATGGCGATCCTTGAGCCTATCAGAGATGAGGTGACCATCCCCCGGCATGTTACGGAAAGTGCCTGGACGAGCGACGTAATACGCTCCGCGCGGAGGCTTCGTAAACGTTGGCTTCCATCCTGGGGAGCCTGGAGGCGGTGCGGTGGTGATCAAGCCAGGAATGGGCTTGATAGATGGCTTGTAGCCGGACGAACCAGGCGCAGCACCAAAAGCGATACCGGGACCCGGGTTCTCGAGGTCCTCGCCAACAACTTGGCCAGGCTGGGCCCAGACGATTCCCGATTGTCCCGGCACAGGCACGGGCTGCTCGAATTTGCGCTTGCGACTGTCGGACTTCTGCGCCTCTATCTTGCGAGCAGCAAGTTGAGTCTTGGCTCGCTGGGTGGTGCCCCTGATCAGAAAACGGTTAGCAATTTCAAACGAAGATGGCGCGGGATGCGGAACCACTGACCTCTTCACATTCGAGGATGTGTTCACCTGCCAGTTCTCGTCGTACCAGCCGGCCTCGGCCTTGAGCCTGTCGTGCTTGGTACTGTTCTCCGGAGTGGTCCAATCATTCTTGCCCGCGATGTTCGTGCTGTTTGAGCGCCAGATGTGTAGAGTCAACTTCTTCATAGCCTTGAACGTCTCAGAATCGCCCGCGGCCTCCAAACAGTAAGGGCATGTGAAGTCGCGGTCGTTAGGATCCGCTGCCATTCTCGCGTCACGATCCTGGTGAGTGCGTCTGATCCACTGCTTGTAGCGGGTGTGAAAGTCACCGGCGACATGCTCACGGAGGTGTCCAACGGTGTAGGTATGTCTCTTCCTGTCATCGTCAACACTATCGTCCTCCTCGCACAGAGCGCATGTTTCCATTCCCTGAGGTCGATACTGGCCGAGTTCATGCGACAACATGAGATTCATGGCAATCTTGGCTGCTGTTGCGTAGGGAATGTCGGCAGCAGCTTCGATGTAATTGACAGCAGCATCGGCGAAGTCTGTCTCCTCCGGGACGTTGATAGTGACATCACGATCTTCTGTTTGATCTTCGGCATCTTGTTCTCCGGCAAGAACAATGTTCGTTGCCTGGCCGGTGTTTGTGTCATTCCCAGCCGCATTTTCTCCATCTTCTCCGGTGTTGTCGCCGTCGGCAATCTCGTCTTCATCGCGGTCGTCATCTGGTTCAGGAAAGTCGTCGTCGAGTTGATCATCTCGTAAATCACTGACATCTTCTGGCTGCTTTGCTTCGTCGGAGTTGAACGCCTGGATGAGCCGTTTGTTGAAGTCCGTCGCACGGACCAGAATCTCGGTGGTTCGAATCTTGCGCTCCTTCTGGGTCTGGTTGCGTCGGTGAAGATTGATCATCTCACGACGTAAAGCAAGGAAAGCTTGGCGGCGTAGGACGCGATCCCGGTTCTTCTTCTCGGCCCTGGACAGCGTGGAGTACTCTTTGTCTTGGCGAATGTACTGACGGGTCAGCGCATTCAATTCAGGACCGTAGAGCTGGATGATTTTGGCTGCAGGCAGCCGATCTAGGGTGCAGCCTGCGCTTGCCTCGAGCTTCATGAACTCGTCGGCTTTTCCTGCCCCAATAGTTTCACCCAGGGTGACGGCAGCGATATCGATATTCTGCAGTCTGTCGATGTAAAACCTCTCCAACGTAAAGCTATCCGGATCGTGACACATCAGCGCGCGCGCATCAGTGTTGCCCAGAATTGCTACGTAGGTGTCAGCTGATTGCCGTCTGATGCTATAGAATGTCACAGAGCCAGGCCATCCCATTGCTTCGGCGCGTCGTTGGAGCCACTTTGTCAATGAGGGAGCTGGGAGCGGACTGTTGTCGGCCACGAGACCGGCACCCTTGGGCTTAGCGGCAATCAAAATTGGCTGCTCGAGGAACTCGGGTTTGACAGTGATGACGTGCAGATCGCTGTCAAAGAGCTCTTCAATCGATGAAATGTTCTCGAAAACACCGCGGCGGATTCCGATAACTAGTAGCCGATGAGGCGCTGACAAGGACAAGTTGGACTGCTGCTGGGGAGAGGCAACTCGGAATATCATGGTCTTGTTGACGACAAAGGCGCTTTGTGCACCCGCGTCCTTATTGGTTTTGAGATTGCGGATGGTGACCCGAAGAGTCCATGCGCCTTGTTGATGACTGTTCGTGATGCGAATGTCTTGCCAGGCGAGGTAGGGGAGCTTGTCGGCGGGCCTAGGGCCGTGGTGCTTGTCAGCGGCGTTGGGACCTAGAGAGCCGGGTCGTAGAGCGCAGGCTCGTGCCAGGCAGATGGCAAAATGATGCTGCTCAGACACCTCGATAGACACGGTATTCTGTACATCCCAGTCGATGAGTTGGCGAATATCGTCGAGGCCAATGTTGACTTTGGCATCCGGCCCAGCATTGATACGGACAAGGTTGAAACGAATAGCAAGAGCGCGGATCATTTCTGTCATCTGGCTGAAGACGTAATTTCCTGTCGGAGGCTTCATCGTTCTCTCCGTGTACTTTCGATGAATCCAAAATAACAGGGCCTGACGGTACTGGCAAAGTGTTGTGTAGGAGATCATCTTGTGCGCATGAGAACGCGGAACCTTGAGCTGAACGACGGTGAATAGGTAAGGACGCAAGAGGCGCCAAAGAGCGTCCCAACACATGGGTTCATCCCTCCCAGCGGGCGGCGGGAAGCAAATCTCGTCGAGCTCCTGGTCGGTAATGTCGATGGCGACTTCCTTGAACTGTCTGACGAACTCTTGATAGTCCTGCAGAATACGGTCCTGGCGTTTCTGTGTTGAAACGGCTGCATGACGGAAGCCGATAGCCTCCATATCCATCTCTCGGGCGTCATTCATGAGCTCCATGAATTCGTTTGTGTCGGCTGCGGATGACGTGGTTTCGCGAAGCCTATCAAGCCAGTCTGTTTGTTTGACGCCGCGAGGGCGCTGGCGTTTGCGCGCATTGTCCGTCATGACTGGATGTCAAGTTTGAGAAAGTTGAGAGATTTGGCCTAAGTCACTGTCAATAAAATAATGCTAAGATTGTGGGCATCTCAAACCTACTAACTCATATAAAGCCTGATTGAGCTTCGTGAACTGTGACCTGTACGCAGAAAACTTGGGAAGGGGAAGAAAGAAAATAAAAAGGGGGGGGGGAGGTGAAGTCGACAGACAAGACTGCGAGTGGCTCGAGGGGGGGGGGGTGCAGGTGGATTCCATGGAACAGTAAAATGAAATGGAAATAGAAGGAACGGCAATTGGAAAAACACCCATGATTGAAATCAGATAGTTAGCATGCTTTTGTGACTTCATGTGGTCTTTGTCCCTTTGTATCTATGACTGTCCACCATTCCTCCCTGTTGATCCTCATTCTCTATCTATGGCTACCTTTCCTTTGCTTCCCAATCCTTCTGCAAGCTTGATGTTAAAACCAACACGACAAATTTCTGACCGTTCTAATATGAATGGTCTAAGATGTGAAGACAGTAGAAGCAGTCTGATTGTATGTCACGTGGTCCCTGGTTCTCTAGTTCTACTAGATAAGCACACTGACAAATTCAGAGGTCGTGGTAGAGGCACAAAATCTTGAATATGGAGAGCGAAAGGCAGCTGAACAGCTCAGCTCCGGGCTGACAGCAAAGACAAATGGTGGAATTGGCAGCATCTTTGGAAAGAATGCCTTGGAAATTTACTTATGCATTGCTTAAGTTGAACTCTTTCATAATCACCTGCATGCCATCACGCAGGCAGGCAGGCGGCTGCCATTGTTCCGCATTGAAAGTCTCGAGAGACGAAGCTGGAGGTCGGGAGGTCCAACGGCAAGAGCGACGTTCATAGGTTCAGGGGCGGCTCCTTCCTTCCACTTGCGAGGAACGCGCACAAGTAGGGCAGCGAAAATTTCTTCTCTTAAAAACAAAAATATCTATGGCCGCTACCTTGGATTCCTAGATCTCACCCCACATCTCTCACCTTTCTTGCTGCTCTCCCACTTCTCTCCCTCTCTCTTCCACTCTCAGCCTTCCCACCCTCTATCGCCATCTTCCTCTCTACCTTACAACCTACGACTACCATCAACACCACCGCAGTCTCGACTTCAGTTCGCTCACAAGCTATCATGACGCCGACTTCGAAGGACGAAGATGATGAGCCCCAGTGGATGACGCTGGAGCGTCCCTACGCGGAGAGCGCTGGTGTTCAGGTACATTCTCCCATCCATCTCAAGGCATCACCGATTTCAAAACGCAAGACACTAAACATTAATTCCAAAGGTCTTGCTCAACAACCAGGAGCACCTCGCTCTCCGAATGAGCAAGCTTGAGGACCTCGTTCGCGCCATGTCCACGTAAGTCGATCTCTCATCATATCTCGCTTCGTCACATTTTGCCCACCCACAACAGCCTTCCCGATTGCCATCTGCTCTCGACATCATCTCCTGCATTTTCGCGCTCTCTAAATGCACGGAGTCTTCTCCTTGTCCAATTCGCGTCTTCTGGTTTCTGTTGCGCTAAGCTAACGTTCAAAAGCGGCGCTACTCGACGCCCTCGCTCCGCCTCCGAGGCCTCCGCCGCCGAGTCTGTCAACAGTGTCTCTACCACCGCTGGAAAGGCGGACGAGAATGCCTTGTCTTTGATCAAAGACTCTTTCATGAACACCGTCAAAGATCAGCACACCCAGTGGCTCGACGTTTCCAAGAAGAAGCCGATCACCATCAAGACGTCCAAGGCCAAGACCGACGAGACCGAGTTCTTCAAGTGGATCATGGACAAGAACCTGCCGTACACCTTCGGCCAGGACGAGTGGGATGACCATCCGCTGAAGGCCGCCTTGTCCCAGCTGCAGATTGAGACCCGGCAGCAGATGTACGTCGACTTGAACAAAGAGCATGTTGAAGCTGAAAAGCAGAAGGTATGTTATTGTTGTTTCTCTTCATCTCCATCGTGTGCACCCACTCCCGCCGCAGTTGCTCTGGTGTCTGTAGCCTCTGGCGTCCGTCTCTGGCGCCGCTGTCCCCTATCTTCGCTCTTCTCTTCTCTGTCGCCTTTCGTTGATACTGACCTGCATAGGATGGCAAGGAGACCGGCAAGAAGGCACCCCCCCGCTCTTCTCTGAAGAGCGCCAACGCTGGCGACAAGCGCACCCGCAAGTCCAACCGAGTTCAGACTATGAGCGAGTCCCAGCGCACCGACAAGGAGACCTTGAGTGATCCTCTCCAGGCCCGCTCCTCTGACGATAGCATCTCGCCCCCCAACGTGCCCGCCCGTCAGCGTCAGCGCACGCGCAAGAACGTCCTCGACGACGATGAGGACGAAGGTGCAGTCATCGAGGTTATCGAGGACAGCCAAGCCCAGGACGACGACGACTCCTAGGCTCGCGCGGCTTGGTGTCGCCGACATCCCTCGCTGGCGTCTCTCGTTGCCCTGGGAGTATTCCCAATGCTACGGACTCGGTGAGCCGTGGTTGACTTGGTGCGCTTGGAACTTGGTTTGGCTTTTTAGGCCCGCGCGGCATGACCGCAACCCACGCCGGCGTCTCTCATTGTCCTGGGAGTATTGCCTGGGCGTGTTGCCAACAAGAATGGATGCGAGACTTTGGTACGCTTTGGTAAACTCGGGCGTGGCTTTTAGGTGGACCTATGGATTGGACTGAAAACAGAAACGCAAAAAAAAAAATTAAAAAATTAGAATAGTGTCCGTAGCAAAGAAATGCCACAACTTTGTGGCAATTCCCAAATCACCCGACCGCGTAACCCTCGGGGCATTGTGCTTGTCGTTGGAGTGTGGTTGGAGTTGTAGTAGGAGGTGGGTTTGAAAGGTGTCGTTCAATGGGGCGGCCACCTGGTTGTGGCGGTGTGAATAGCGTGCGCGTCGAACGCTGCACCTTGGCTTAATTACCTAGCAAGCAAACCACAGGGAATGACATAATCTGGGGAATCGCGGCGCTTTCTCGCCCGTCCAGGCCTGCTCAACACCACGGTCGCAGCCAACGCAGTAAATTCTCCGCCAACACATCGCTCTGAACACCCTAATAATAACAAACTACCTAACTGACCTCAGAACACCTAACACCTAACACCTAACCCATCTAACCCTAACTAATCTAACCAGGTTTCTATTATCAATCCGTCTCTTTTTTTCCATGTTCCGACCCTGACTCCCAACCAACTAACTCCTAACCATGATCCTGACTCCTAGCCATGATCCTAACTTCTAATCACTAACCCTACGCTCAGTGCCCTGCAGGTTATAAACGCAGGGCAGGTGGAGGCTCAGCGCCGCAGTACGAGCCCCGAGGCCGCCTGTAGCCTATTGCCTACAAAATGCCAGCCTACCTAACCCAGGGCACCTTCTCAATACGCTCCGCGTGGAGGCTTCGGAAACATTGGATCCTGGGGAGCCTGGCTTGCTTGATAGATAGCTTGAAGCCAGACGAACCAGGCACACTTCGGAAAGGATGCAACCTCGAAGTAGATGTCTAGCTTTACAGATGAGGGGAAACAGCTTAACTTGACAGCTTCCTTGAAGCACAAGTCACTTCTCGACATCGGGAAGGTACCCCCTTGCCCGGAAAGCCCTTTCGAGAATCTCCCGAATGACATTCTCCTTCCGGAAATTGTACTCCACCACCGTCTCACCCAGCCCGTTACTCACCCCCGCAGCATCAACCTTGGCCCGCGCATACAACTCCTTGTCATCCTCGTGCGCCGTGAGCCATTCTTTCATGATCAAGTGCCTCGCCATCTCCGCCGTGCCGACTTTGAAGACATGCAGGTTGCAGAAGTACGGCTCGCTCATCGCGAAGAAGCGGTGCTCATGCCACTCAGGCTCGCGAAGGAGGAACTGAAAGCCGGCGGCCTCCAGTGCAGGAGCGTACTCATCTTCAGCCGTTGGGTTCGCAACCGCCAGGTCAATGTCGATGACGGCCTTGGCAGGGAGGTTCGGGACGGAGGTTGAGCCGACGTGGGAGATGCTCACGGCCGTGGGGCCGATGGCGCCGATTATGCGGGCCTTGAGGAACTCAAAGTGTTCGGGCCAAGCCGGGTTTGGGGGCTCGATCGCGAGCGGAAGTTTAGTCTTGCGCGTTGCGATGCGTTGTACTATTGTTGGATCATCTTCATAGGTTTTGACAATCTCTTCCACGGGGCAGGACATCGTTTTGGATTTGGGGCAGAAGCTAATGTGGTCTTCGAGAGTTGTGAGGAAAAGAAATCTTGTTGCGCGACTAGCAAGTCTGTCTACATGTATGTCTATGGGCTCCAATCTAGATCTCTTCGCCAACCTCAAATGCTGCGGGCGTGAGTCATCCGGTGAGTTAGTGCATGGCTCGCATGGGCATCCATGGTGCCGCCATCCGATTGCATCTTATCTAAGAAAAGTGACGTGCCTAAGGATCCTCCAAGTCGACAAACTTGTATGCCCAGTATGCGCACCAAATGAAGGTGAGTCCGCAGAAGAAGAAGCTGACGAGGTAAAACACGGCGGCCTATGAATTGTTAGCAGCTTTTATGAAGCGTGAACAAAAGCACTCACTTTGCCTCCGTCGCCCCATCCCTGGCCATCATACAGCGGCGCGCAGACATACACCGTCAGCCCCGCCAGGAAGCACAGCGCCGAGTATGCCATGAGCATCATGGGCGCCTGCCAGGTGAAGATCATGTTCCAGCGGATCTCGACCAGCGGCATCTCCTTTGGAAACCAACCCCCCTCCTCAGCCAGCTTGATCGCGCGGATCTGAGGGATCGGCGGGACTTCCTCCAGCGGCGAGTGCACCGGGTCGACGGACCTGCTGCGGCGGATGTAGAGAATCATCGCGAGCTCCTTGTCGATGTTGCGCCGCTTCGGGGAGCGGTGGATCGTCTGGAAGATGAACTGCTCCGAGGATGCGAGCAGGATGGCGAAGAGTGACAGTGAGATGCTGGCGTACCAGAATGCCGGGGTGAGCCAGTGCAATGAGTCGGGAGTTGGCCAGGAAAAGGTCCCGATGACGGCCGCTGACACCAAGGTACTCTAAAGGTTGTCAGTATGTGATGAGACCGATGGCGAGGTGAGGACATACGGCGACTTGGACGAGCTGGAACTCGCTCAGCTTTCGGTCCCGCCATCTCTGGAGCTCCGCGGATATCTCCTGATCAGTCTCCTCGTTTTCGACGGTTTTGGCGATGGAAAGAATTGGCAGCAGGGTGTTTTGTTGGTAGAAGCGGTAATACGGCAGGGTGAGGATGTTGGTCGCGATCTGGGCAATCTTCCCAGTGACGGTCACGACGATGATCTGGACATCACGTCAGTGCATGCAACGCTCCAGACGGTGGGAAATGTCCATACTGCGGCCTTCAACTTCTTTCCTCCGCTGGGCACCCCACGGGGGAGCTCGCCCGTCTCCCCTTTCAAGACCTGCTCATCGATCTGGTCATCGACGTGGGCGATTTGTTCTGGCATACTTGCGTTTGATTGACATGTTCTACTCACCACAGTCATATTGACTGGGATATCTATATATACATCGTCCATCTCTTGCCAGGCAGCGGCAAGGCACGACAGGTGTGCGGTGCAGCAGATGACATTTTGCCTGCCCGTGACCGCGATTCCCCCACATCCCCAGGTGATGTCCCTCCACACCATGTCTCAGATGGCGCAGCCTCGCGACCACCAATACGAGTGGCGTCAAATGACCAATGATGGCCTCGACTGCAGTCATGGTCTAGAAAAATAGCCCTGAGCTTGTTTGACGACTGGCATCTGCGGTGTGGCATGCAAGTCACAACCGCGTGGTGGTGGCGGGTGGGTGAGCCGGCTGCCTTAGTTCCCGTGCGAATCTGTAGGTGAGCCCACGCTTGCGGGCGAGCTGATGAAAAACACTCAGCCTTTCTTGATCTCGCCCTGGAACTTGACAGCCCACTCGGAGAACTCGTCCTTGTCTCCACTCCATGGCGCCTTCAGCTGGTCCGAGAGGGCAACAATCTCGTCAAAGCACAGATTCATAACGCGATCGATCTCGTCAGCTGAGAGGTCGTAGAAAGCGCCCGCCAGCTCATCAAACATGTGAGGCAGCTTTCGGAGAATACGCATGGACTCGTCCAGACGCTTCGGAATGTCCGACTTTTCGACAGGCAGCGACGGCAACGTCTTGAAGCGTCTCTTGACGATGGCTTGGTAGAGGAGCGTGGTGAGCCTGAGTCGTTTCAAGCAGGATTCGAGACGGTCGCGGATCTTGTCGGGGTCGTCTCGAGGGATCGCCTGTGATCCGCTCATCATGTCGTCGATGAGCTCCTGCGTGGACGGCATCATGGAGCCCAGCGCGGAATCGTGGTCGAATTCGTCGGCGTCGCTGTCGTCGTCATCATCCTCCGGTTCCTCCTCGCCCCACTCCTTGAGCTCCTCCATAACATCCTTGAGTGTTGCCCTGAACTCTTCGACCTTCTGGATGAAGCAGCCGCCGATGCCGCCCTTGTAAAAGTTCATGACCGCGTCGCAAGCCGCCCAGATGACACCCGTGGCCGCCATGCTTCCCTTGCCGGTGGAAGTGGCAGAGCCGCTCTTTTGGGCGTCAGATAGAATCTTGCCATCCCTGGGGATCTTCTCGACCAGCCCGCGCAGCTCCTTCAGCACAGTGTAGCACTTCCATGACAAGTCCTTGCGAACGGTGGCAGTGTAGCGCTCGGCGTCGCATGACTGGGCGGCGGTCGCGATACCAGGGATAGGGCCAGCGACAAGCTCGCGGACGACTTTGCTGATGGCGGACGGTGTGAAGGGCTCGTTGATGATGAGGACGGAGATCTTGGTCGAGTGCGCTTTGATCAGAGACGCGGAGTCGTTTGCGAGGGCGAGAGGGTCGACGGAGGAATTCGAAGATGCTGCCTGCTGGGAGTCATCTTTGCCGGCGTTGATGGAGAGGCAAACGGCCTCCAACTGCTTCATCAAGGCGATGGCCGTGTCGGAGAGCGCATTCAGCGCTGCGGGGGTGTTGGCGGTTGATGAAGACATCGTTTCGTCCTTTGCAAGAAAAATGCTTGGTCCGGAGGAGATGTCGAGCTGGCAGAGACACGGCTCGGGGAACAGGAACTCATCAATGACAAGACTCGAGATGGCCGACAGCAAAAAACATTTTGCCCCGCGATTTGGAGGGGTATCTTGGGGTACGTACCTCCTGCCTCTTCCCTCTCCAGCTCCCTCACCGTCCCTTCCTCCCGCCTGCCAGTGCTCCTTCCCTGAGCTGCACCTGCTGCTGCGCGACAGCTGTCCAATGACGTCCCACCTGCGCTCAATACGACCCACCCTTCACGTGACTGTCCCTGCAGCAGCTTCCACCGCCTGGGCGCCAACTCCGACCCCCCTGTAAGCCGCTGGGGACTCGAACCCACTACGGCGTTTTGGGTGAGCTGGAAGTTCCACGACAACAGCAACGGCGTATCCCATATCTGTACCTTACCGACACCTTCTCCCCGTCTCCAGTCTTGCATCTGGACTGGACTTGGCCAGCTTCACAACCACTGCCACCTCCTTCGTTTCTCAAAAGCAACCCGACTCTACGCATGAATGACGGTTTTTAGGCCCTGAGGATCCAAAATGCGTCAAAGCTACAGCGTGGTGCTTGTTGGCACCTTCCTGTCGGCAGCCGCCCCGGTTTCTGCCAACAACCTGCCCAGAGGAGTCGGTCCAGAATGTGAGTTCAATCACCAAGGCCACCCCAGTTCGAGCTCTCGAAGCTCTACAAAGGCTAGGAAATTTTTATGGCTCATTGATCCCGTGCCAATGCCGTCTCTTTGTCTCTCTGGGGTCACGTATCGTCCGTTGTTGAACCCACTAACATGCTTCCCACCAGTTGCCAAGTACTTCGAGTCCAAGGACTCCTTCACCTGCATCACCCACCCCGAAATCAAGCTGAGCGTGAAGCAAATCAACGACAACACCTGCGACTGTCCAGATGGCTCCGATGAGCCTGGCACCTCCGCCTGCGCCCATCTCGACCCCCTCTCTCCTCCCCAGCCCTTCGTCGGCTCCAAGACAGGCACAACCAGCACGACTACTGCCCTCCCGGGATTCTGGTGCGCCAATGAGGGCCACATTGGAGCTTACGTCCCCTTCATGTACGTCAATGACGGCCATTGCGACTACGACATTTGCTGCGATGGCACCGAGGAGTATGGCAAGGTCGGAGGCGTCAAGTGCCCGAACAAGTGTAACGAGATCGGCAAGGAGTTCCGCCGCGTCGAGGCTGAGAGGAAGGCCGCCATCGACAAGGCTGGTAAGAGACGCAAGACGATGGCCAAGGAGTCCAGGGAGCTTCGCCGCCGTGTCGAGGTCAAGGTCAACAGCTTGAAGGAGGAGGTCAAGAACCTCGAGACCAAGAAGGAGGAGCTTGAGCAGAAGCTCCACGAGACGGAGCGTTCCGAGCGGGGCAAGGTCGTCAAGGGCGAGGGCTCTGGAGGAAAGCTCGGCACTCTCGTCAACCTGGCCAAGAGCCGCATCGCTGAGCTCCGTGAGACTCTTGAAGACGTCGTTGCCCAGCGGGACGACCTCCGCAACAAGGTCGGCGAGCTTGAGGGCATCCTCAGAAGATTCAAGGAAGAGTACAACCCCAACTTCAACGACGAGGGCGTTAAGCGCGCCGTCAAGGGATTCGAGGATTACTCTGCCAACTCCGTCACCGAGACCAAGTCGGACGATCTCGAGGCTGACATCAGGGAGGTCTTGGTCGAGGACAACGAGAGCTCTGGCATTAACTGGAAGGAGTTTGAGGAGGCTGAGGGCTCTGACACTGACATCCGTACGTAACCTTCAGCGCATGATTGCGGAACGCAGCTGACAAACCTAGTCTACAACTTTGAGGCCTACCTGCCCGCTCCCGCTCGCGAGTTTGTCCGCGACAAGGTCACCGCCATTCGTGGCTGGCTCATTGACAACGGCTTGATGGTTGATAACACCCCCGCCGGCTCCGAGTCTCGCCTCGTCACCGTCGCCCGTGACGCTTTCAACGCCGCCAACAACGACCTCAACGAGAAGCGCCGCCAGCTCGAGAACGAGGAGAAGGATCTCGCGAAGGACTACGGCACCGACGACATCTTCCGTGTTCTGAGCCAAAAGTGCGTCAGCACCGAGGCTGGCGAGTACGAGTACGAGCTTTGCTGGATGGACAAGACCAACCAAAAGTCCAAGAAGGGCCACGGCAACACCAACATGGGCAACTTTGTCCGCATCGACCGGGAGATGGCCGACGACGAGGAGCGCACCGATGGCAAGAGCCTGGGCAAGGGTCTCCGCATGGTCATGCGCTTCGAGAACGGCCAGGGCTGCTGGAACGGACCCCAAAGACGCACCGACGTCTGGCTGGCTTGCAGCGAGACAGAGGAGTTGTGGAAGGTGTCCGAGTCGGAGAAGTGCGTTTACAAGATGGAGGTGGGCACGCCTGCTGCCTGCGACGACCTGCTTGAGCCCCCTGAGCCCAAGTCCAAGGACGAGTTGTAAGAGGGGTGAAAACGGGGGACTACCTGTACAAAGAACAGCATCTGGATTGCTTAGCTTGGCGTCAGGGTGACTTAGACGTAGAGGTCTGCATTAGGAATCATCAAAACGTTGATCAATCATCTGATCGTAGAGCCCTTGCCACATGTTGACATGCGCCTACACGAAATGACAGTGACCAGGACGAAGTATGTGAGAGATGGGGTGGTTATGAGCAATGTCCAAAAACAAGATTGACAGATATAGAGAACTAGGCACGAGGACCAGGAAGGAAGGCGATATGGGCCCGTCCACGCCCTTGAGGGGATGTCGCACAGTATCGGGGGTATCATTTGAAAGTATTTTACGATTTAGATCAGCAGTATGATCCTTTGTCCACCTAGGCCTTTGCCGCCAATTTCCTTCGCTTGCTCAGCTCCTCCTGCTCAGCCATGACTTTGGCTGTCAACGAGGCAGCCATGGGATTGTTGATGTTTCTCGTTTTCGACTTGGCGCTGTCTGTGGTAGCTGTCGCTCTCCGCTTCTCAGGTGCCTCGCTATCATCCTTGGCGTCGGTGTCTTCGGCCTTGCGCTTCTTCTTGCCCTTATCCTTCTTATCCTTCTTTTCCTTTTTCAAGCCGTGGGTCAACCCGGCAGCGATGAGGTCGTCCATCCTCTCCGTAAGCTTCTTCAGATCCGCCTCCTCCGTCGGCAGTATGGGGACGATGTTCTTGGCCTCGAAGGGTTCGCTGCACTCGGGGCATGTTGATGTCGACTCTCCAATCTCCTTGATGGCAACCTCCGCGAAAACATGGCCGCACGGCACGAGGTAGACAGCCTTGACAGAGGGACCCAGCTCCTTCAACGAGATGGGACACGCCCAGATGGCCGTCTTCAAGCCCGGCGGGGAATACTGGTGGAATTTGAGCTTGACAATGTCACGCAGCGACTTGATACCAGTCGAGGCAAACGTGAGCTCTGGAGAGTGGGGATTCGGT